GATAAGTATCTATTTTGTACTTTTCAGAACTCGGATTGGACTGGTTTTGAAGTAAACCAAGACCAAACCACAACTACCTACAATTCCATGAAATTTGGAACCAAACAAACCATGAAAATCTTGGAATCAAATTGAACTATGAAAACACGGTTTGGTTCAATTTGGAACCACAATTTTTATAAACCTTGTCATCGTTCACAATATGATCACAACATGGTCAAATATTAAATAATATGCCATCATTTTACAAGCAAATAATTGTTTAGAACTAGTTCTACAATTATACAAGAGCACATTTGTAAGAGGAGGATTAATTTTGATTTATCCTCGACTCTCTTTTTGATTTATCAATTGATTTTGTTGTTGATAAAAAAAAAAATAAAAAATAAAAAAAAAAAAAAAAAGAGTAGGATTAACAACTTATGAATATATATGGGATACTAACAAGGTGCTTGAGTGTACTATAAATAACAAATTATATAATATTTATGTGTAAATAGCTAAACAGATCAGTTTGATTCCAAATTGGAACCATGACTATAAAATGACAGATTGAACCATAAAATACGGTTTGCCTATTTTAAGAACTATGACCGTACCGTGCATTGAGAAAACCAAACCAAACTGTGTGGTTTGGTTTGGATCGGTCTTGTTTGTGGTTTTTTTGCTCAGACCTACCTTGCACTTTTATTGTGTATAGATTCTACTAGTAAGGGAATTTCAATGGGTTTGTATCCTACTGGATTTTTTGTCCTTCACCGTAGTGACTTTTGAATACTAATCTATTAATTTAGTGTACAAGGTAACTTCTTGTATAACAAATTGGTGTCCTTCATGGGGGCTTGTCAGATTTTTGAAGCTTTTGGGCCCGTGGAGCTTGTGCAACTACCTACTGACCCTGAGACAGGACACTGCAAAGGTTTTGGATTTATTCAAGTTAGTATAACTTCATATTGACTCTCAAGTAGTTTTTTCTTCGGTAAAAGACATGAAGCTTCTTGTCACGGATGTTACAAAATGCAACTTCGTTGATTCTCATGGAACCTTGCATAATTTTTTTGCAAATAACTTCTTTCTTCTTTCAACTGTCATTTGTATTACTTTTTAATTATTCTTCATTTTGATGAGTTTGATCCAATATTCTTTTTTTAAGGCTAGAAATAGTTGGAATGGGTTATTGACCTCCAAGATGGAACCTTTTCTCTCTCACATATTTGTTTTAAAATAATGGACGACAAATATAATTTCAATAATAATCATCCATTTTTTGTAATACAAATTCATATTTTTACTTCGTTAAGGTTGGTTTATACAATAAAATACGCCTATGGAGACAGACGGCATGTAATTAGGACATGTAGGTTGAAAGTTAGTAAAATACTCCTTAAACTTTGACGAAAAAGGGCGTTCGAGGGTGAAAATGTGAAACAGCCCCTAAACCACTCTGGGGATGTCACGAGAAGATTGATCGTGACAAATACGACCTGTGGGAACAAAAGATATGTAATTAGGACACGTAGGTTGGAGGTTAGAGTAAAATATGTAAACTTCATCAAAAAAGGGCGCCTGATGGGCAAAAATGTGAAACAGCGTGCGAACCACTCTGGGGATGTCACAGGAAGCTTGCTTGTGATAAATACGACTTGTGGGGATAGATAACATGTAATTAGGAGACATAGGTTGGGGGTTAGAGTTGAAAACGCTTTAAAGTTAGTTGAAAAAAGGTATAGGGGGGCAAAAATACAAAACAATGCCTAAACCACTCTAGGGATGTCACCGACAGCTTGCTCGTGACAAGTACGACCTGTTCGGACATATGGGATGTAATTAGGACACGTATGTTGAGAGTTAGAGTAAAAAATGCCTTAAACTTAGTCGAAAAAGTGCATTGGGGAGCCGAAAATGCAAAACAATCTTGAACCACTCTGGGGATTGCGCGGGTAGCTTCCTCGTGCCTAATAGAACATATGGGGACATACAGCCTGTGAGTAGGACACATAGGTTGGGAGTTAGAGCTGAAAATGCCTTAAACTTAACTGAAAAATTACATTTCGGGAGGGGAAAACTTGGGAGAAACTTGTCCGGACATGCAACATATGATTACGACTATAATTATACAATTTTGAAAAGATTATATACATTCAAGTTTTATATAATTTTTTTTTATTATTTGAAATGATGACGTTATTCAATCAATACTAATGGTTAATTTTATTTTTACAGATGGTTTTTGGCGTGGAAAAGTGGATATTCCTTATTTATGTGCGAAGGACATTGTTTTTTTTATAATTTGTTATTATGTTGTCCTTTATTTTTATAATTCGTTATTATAATTCGATCTTGGCCTAATAACCTTGAGGTTATGGATTCAAGTCTCAGGGCAGCCACTTTGTGCACTATGCCAAAGGTTAGGTGTGTACCCAATCTTTCCCCTCCCAAACACACATTAATGTGTACTATTTGAGCGTTGTTTTTTTTTTTTTTTTTACTATTATTCTTACAGATAACTATTGGCGTGGTACAAATTGCTTTTGACATAAAACATATTACTTTTGGCATGATATAGATTACCATTTGACATGGTATTGTGGATATTTCTTTTTTTTGTGTACGGAAGACATGATTTTTGTATAGTCCTCTATTTTGTATAGAATTATTATTTAAAGTTGGATTATGCTTGATGCGTTTGGAATTTCTATTATATTTCAAATTTGACGTTAAAAGTTAAATTTTCTTGGATTGTTATTATTTTCTTTATATACAAGGTACAAGTTACACAGAATAAATACAAATTGTGGCGAAATTATTGTATAAAAAAAAAAACACTAAAGAAAGTTTTTGACAATTAAACATTTAGTAGCCAAAAGGAAATCAAGGCTTTTTCGCGATTAAGGCCTCGTTTGGGAACAGGCTAATTTAGTAACTTTTTGGCTATTTGACTAAAAAGATAGGTAAAAAAAACTTGTATGTTTGGGATGACTTTTTGGCTAATAATTACGAAAAGATGTGCAAAAAGTAGAGAGAAAAGAGAATCTTTGACTTTTTGGTATGAGTTGTTGGCTTTTTGGCTAATTTAGTAACTTTTTAGCTAATTGGCTAAAATAGCCTCTTGCCAAACGAGGCATAAATATTTGGTAGCCAAAAGAAAGAAAATATTTTTGGTGACTAAATAGTTTGTAGTAAAAAAAAAAAAAAGATGAAAAATAAATTTTATTTGGTGCATAAATATTTAGTAGCCCAAAAAATTTGAAGTTTTTGCATACAAAAAATTTGGTCATCAAAAAAGCCGTTGATATTTTTTACGACTAAACATTTAGTCACCAAGAAAGGTACAATCTTTTGCCTACAAAAAAGTTTGGTTACCAGCTAAAGGAATCAATTAGATGTTTGGCTACAAAATTAATTTGTCGCTGATAATGGAAAAAAGATTTGGCGACTATATATTTTAATCAGTAAATAAAACATAGTAGTGATATAATTTATCTACGACTAAAAATTTAGTCGATAAAAGTTCAAACTAAATTTATAGAAAAATTTATGGCGACTAAATTATTAGTCGTCAAATGGTATTCATTGGCTACTAAAATAATTTTAGTCGCCAATAATTTTCCCGAAAATTAGTCAACGACCAACTGGGTGACTAAATAATTTAATTGGGAATTACAATCGTCGACTAAAAAGGATTTTTAACGACTAAAAAATTAGTTTCCAAATGTGCAATTTCTTGTAGTGTGTAATTAGTTTATTACCCTAATTAACTTCAATAGACTTGATTAACTAATTGTAATTTTAAAATTGAGTGAATTTTTTTTTATAATTCGGTAACTACCCGGTACAGTTATGACATGTTTTTTGACATACCCATTCTTCATATTTTCAAGATAATTCTAAATGAGAATTTTTATATTTTTTTTGCAAAGTATATATTATTTACAAGCCATTTTCATAGTTTGGTGGTGTTGGTGTAAGAGGTGGTACCGTTTCTCCAATCCATTTGAATCCAATTATAATTGAGTTTGTAGGATAAAAGTCATTTAAATTATGACGAATTTCTCACATAAATTTACATAATTATTTAATGCTAATTGAATTTATAAATATTTATACACAAACATCAACATGCACTTGTATGATTTATATTTTAAGATCATTAGTGGTGTCAATTATAGAGGATTCTATAAATATATAGTGGTGTCAATTATAGAGGATTTTGTTCAAACTCTTCTAGTAGTTGGCATTGGGATATTCGACTCTATCTTAAGATCATTATGCTTGGAAGCATTCCCTATTTTCTTTTTGTGGACAATTCTATAAATTCATCTTCTTTTTTTTCTTTTTTCTTTTTTTGTAAATCTCTATGTCAGTCTCCTTTGATTTCTAGTAATTTACATGTGAGGTTCCTATAGTAAGGAGAAATGGACACAAATGGTTGAGCCCCTAAACACAAAATGTGGCATTTTTTTTTAAACAATTAGCCTAATGTACGATTTAAAATTGGTTTCTACACAATATTTGGTTGATGTAATTTGGATGGTTTTTATGTGTGGATAAATGTACACTGGAATGATTTCTATTTGGATTATGTAAATTTGATTTTGCTAATCCGTCTATGTACAAGTTGATATATGTCCAAATTGTAAATTAATTTTGGATGCCAATCTATGTATATGATATTTTGGTACCAACTATATATGTCTAGCTTGATGATATTTGCATGTCAATCCAGATTGATTAAAATGCAAAAGAATATATGTTGCGACACGTGCAAGTGAAGCTATTGTAAATAATCTTTGCATGTGAAATTGTCAAGTATCTATCAGATTCATTCTCATTCAATTGCATAATTGATTGGTGATGAAATGACTTATAATTTTACTTCCAATCAATCGGTTATGAAATTATCAACTACTTATATTGATTTTCATTCAATTGCACAATTGATTGGTGATCAAATGTTCTACAATATCACTCCACATTGACATGATATGCACTAAGTAAACAATAACCAATTTCACCTACAACTCACATATAGGTAAATCTTGTAGAACATTAGATGCATCTGATTTGCATAAGCTAGTTTCATGACACAAGCAAGCATATATTGAATTAAAATAGTCAACAAAAGAAAAGCCTCAAAAGAATGAAAAAGACTTGACCCTTAGAGGAGTGAAGGCAAAGTTCTTCCTTAATCTGTTAGGCTTGTGCAAATCAGGTGGTGAGAAACTATTGGTTTTTAGCCATTATCTCCAGCCACTTAAGTTCTTGGAAAGGCTAGCCATGAAAGTAAAAGGTTAGACTCAGGAAAAAGAAATTTTTGTAATCACCGATGATTCCAATTCTAAGATTAGAGAGTGGTCCATGAATTGTTTTAACACTTCCCTAGATGCTCGAGTCTTCTTTGGATCAATAAAAGCATGTGGGGAAGGAATATCTCTTTACACAATTGAAAATCATCATCATCATTTCAACTATTTGAATTGGGTTTCCTATGTTTTAAGTTCAATTCCATCAACTATGCATGAACTTAACACTCAAAGAAACATTTGTTTGTAAACATAAGTTCCGACAATATAAAGACACTGATTACTACAAAATTTAAGCTTTGGTAGTTGAGAGACATTGAATGACTCGGTGTGTTTTGTGATTCCTTGAGAGCAAATAACCCAAGTTACTATTGACAGTCACAAGCATCAATGAAAAAAAATATAAAATAAAAAAAGATAATAATTTCTAAAAACTAAAACCAAATAAAAGGATCACACATCCTAGCAAACATAGTATTTACCTAGCAAACATAAGACATGACAAAGGAACCATGTACATAATAATGACCACCTACTAAGAACACAAGTTTTGAGCTTAACATTTGTGGACAATTTACAAATTAATGTTTGTTGTCCACATGATGCAATTCATATCAAGACACCACTTGCCATCTAGTCATACCAACACACCACTTGCCATCTAGTCATATCAAGACACCACTTGCAACCAAAATTGATGAACTACAGCAAGAGGAAATGAAATATTATAAACTAATTTATAAAAATCTAGCAATCGAAACAAAAGAAAGAAAATAATCAAAGTGGTTCATTCATATTAGTAGAGATCAGAGAAACAGGGGAGGAACAAAATGGTTTCTGACTTGAATGTGTGTTCTCGTGGTTGTAGTCTAATTTTGTATTGTGAAATTAGTCGAGTACAGAAATGGTTGCTCAACAATAAACTTCCACTCCTATTAGAACTAAGATGGCAAAGTTGATGTCTAGCACTCACAATGTTGTTAGAAGCTGTACCTGCTAACTAAGCCTCAAATTGCTGACTCTGAATCCATTTCCTTGTTAAGTATAAATGTGCCATGTCTTCATTGTCATCTAAAAGATGTTCAATTTCATCACGCACCTAACACCAAACAACCATTTGCTCCACATTAAAAGTAATACAACAAATAAATGAAAAGGCATAGAATCAATCACATGTAACAACCTCAATCCACATTTAGCATAAAAGCAACCAAAACACCATCAGTAGATGCCTCCTTAATTTGAACTATGCAAGGAAATGACTCAATTGACAATAATGACAAGAAATAGGCCTCAATTAAAATTGAGGGACTTTAGCTACACCTTCACAATTTTATGATGATTGATGATCCTTCGGTGGCATTTATTGCACAATTTTGATAGATGTGCAAACTACTTGTGGGAATCAGAGCATATCCCGCCAAAAGAAATCCATGTCTGAACTCTTTGCTATGTTCATACATGCACAGTTCAATAGAGTTTTCTGCAGTATATTTAACTGCTCCTGCATGGAATGGCACCACAAGGGGGTGCTGAAATCTATGACAATTGACATGTATTATGAAGCATGCCACTAAATTACAAGACTAGAGCACAAAAAGTGTATGAGAGTGCAATTAGCCTTGAACCATTAGAAGCCTTAAATTTCCCACTAGATATTAGCATCCAACAGCACAAAAGTTGTACAAACCAGTTTCTAAATTATCTCAACACGCTGTTCTACTTCAATGGACATTCATCTTACCAAATAGCCACTAGAAGGATACACCAAACACATCCATAAATTCTTTACATGCAGATAAACAAAAGAGGGAAAATGAATGCAACAAGACCCAATTGCCGCCAATTTGGCCGACGACTGACATCTACACTCCAACCTGGTTTCACACTTCATGCAAAGAAGATACACAATTTAAAATAGACTACTGGGTATACATGGGCTTTCCTCTTTTCTCATGTATAAGTTTTCCACATCAAAGTTGATAAAACAAAAATAAATAAATAACTAGCAAGTGCACCAACACCATGAAGTAATCTGTTGTAACTAGTAGAAAAAAGAAATCAATAATGTATACCTTTTGTACCCGTACAAGTAAACTGGCCAGATTGCTTTTCAAACTCCTCGCGTGCTCAAGATTCTTGGTGCTAACATTCCTCACCAGTTCATCCAATACAGGGTAAGCATTTCTCTCAAGGTCTACTACACTAGAGTCCAAATATGTACAGACAACCTTCAATGCAATCTCAACAACTTGAAACTCAAATGGGAGGTCACACTACAAACCTTCAACGGCTTTAGGAACGGATAACCATTGTCCCCTAGATGATAATTGCATTTCATTATCTTGTACATCCATTTGACCCCCTCCTTGACTTTTGGACACGCTTTTATGAGGAAGTTGTTGCCGCAGCAGATCCACAAACGGAAGAACCTCCTGGCAGAGAGGATCAAGCAACAGCACTTCTTCAGCTGTAACTATAGCCTTTATAAACTCTAAGTTGACAACCATAGCTTTGTCCCTAGCTGCAGAACGGAACAATACAAATTCACTCTCATCACAACCAATCATTATATACAAACATATGAATCTATGCAGGTATCACTGGCAGCAAATGAAAAATAAATAAATAAATTCCACCCAGATCATTATAGCAGAAAAGAGATTAAGCGTTTTCTTGATGAGTTGATGCTGGACTACATGAACAGAAAAAAAGATAATCTATTAGGAGATAAAGAAACAAAAAGAGATGGGACTACGGGATTGTTTGGCAACCCCATTAAATGCTTAAATCTAAAAACTTTTAGTTACCTATTAAGTTTGTTAGTTAACACGTTCAAACTCAAAATTTTACATCAAAGAGATTCGACTCATCACTAAAGGATATATGTGATTTTGACTTGTATTTATAACGGATAAACTTAACCTTTCAAAACTTTAGTACTTGCAAATATTCAGTACTATTAATGAGGTTTCAAAAGACCTGGAAGTGTGAGCCTTCCTGTTCTATTGAGTTAACACAATTCCATCCTTGCCTTATTTTCATTTTCAATTTTAGAAAAATCCATATTCCTACTCATTCTCCCCAAAACTCCAACTATAATAAGTAATCTAAACTCAAACTCATGTATTACGCCACTCATACTCAGTAAAAGCATCCATATACCCTGATTTTAATGGCTGGCTGTGCTTTATCAATTTTCGCATCAGAGCTCCGCCACAATGCTTCCATGTGTGAAAGATGCTACACAAGTAGATTGACAGAGTGATTGTGAGATGAATCACTCATCCAATTTCCACAACAAGAGGACAGGCAAAACTCAAGAGGTATGAACTATAAAATAATCAGATAAAAATACCTCAATGCCCTTGCAACAGTAACCCAACTACCCTCACTAGTAGGCAAGAGACTAAGACAGACTCGCTCAGCCACTCCCTGCAATTCCACAAACATATGAATCTCAAAGAAACAAAAAAAAAAAAAATACCAAGTAGCTATAACTTCAATAATTACAACAGTATGTATGCCTTCAAAAAGTTCAACAATGGATACATAGAACCAAACCTAGAAACCACCATTACAAACTGCCTCATCCAACATAACAAGTAATTGTCCGATCCATACCAAATAAAGCTCTAAAAAAAGTTTACAAGATAACATTAAAAGGAGTAATTTTCTTAAATGAAGCATTTTAGTCTTTTCAGTTTGTTCTGTTATGTGAAAAGACCTTATACAAATCCACAAGCATAGTCATTAGGGAGTACACATATCAGTTTGAAGCCCTTACTCATTTGTTCAAAGTGTCAATTTCAAATTAAGCCAAAAGCAAAAATCACAATTTCCCTATAAATTACTAAAAATCGACAGAGAGGGAGAAAAACCTAGAGAGAAAGAGAGAAAAGCCTGTGATTTGTGGCCGAGATCGACAGAGAGGGAGAAAGACCAAGAGAGAGAGAAACCTGTGATTTGCGGTCGAGATCGATAGAGAGAGACTGAGATCGACAGAGAGGGAGAAAGACCTGTTGTTCAAATAATGGCAATGTGTGAGAGAAAAGGCGTTTGGGAGGGCTTGGTGTTTCTCTCTCTAGAATTTCGGAGAGAGAAGAGGCGTTTGGGAGGGCGATCGACGGAGAGAGATCGGCACAGAGAGACAGACCGAGATCGACAGAGATCGACAGAGAGAGAGAGAGAGACAGAGATTGACAGAGAAGAGAGAGATCGACAGAGAGAGAGAGAGAAAAAAAAAACCTACAGCAGCGGTAGTGGTTGTGGCGGTGGCGGTGGCGATGTGCGACGACGATGAGCAACGGTGGCCAGCAATGGTCGTCGCAAGCAAAGTTGTCGCTCCGAATGACTACTCTTTCCTCCATCTTCTCTTCATGTTCTCTTATTCGTCTTCGCTCTTTCTCTCTCGAGCGTATCTCTCTCTCCAGCTAGTTTTTGCTCTTGTTTTTTTTGTTTTTGTTTGGGAGGGAGTAGAAATTTAGGCCAAATTTTAGGAGGGAACTTCACAAATAAAATTTTGGAGGGTTTGTTTTAAATATTGAGGAGAAATTTGAATTTGGAACAAAATTTTGTAGTAAGAATTGATCTTAATTTGTACATTTTTTAAAAATTTTATTATTTATGTTTGTAATTTTACCTTTATTAAAGTTTAATTAATATTATAAATGAAAAAATAAATTTAGGAACTTTTTTTTATTTTAATCCATAATTAATAATTATATTTAAAAATAATTGCTATTATGTTGTTAATAATTTATTATTTAATTATTAATAGCTATTACATATAGTAACAAATTTAATTAGTATTAACATAAAATAATTTAACATTTTAAATTAATAATTTAATAAAATAATTATTTGAACTGTTATAGTTAGTTAATAATTTTTTTAGTCACTTACCAATAGTCCTGTTAACTAGATTAGTTCACCTACAAGACTAATAAATTTATCAATAAGAATTTAATGGGTAATAAGTCCCAAAAATAAGACCTATTAGTAATTTATCTTAATTTTTTTTGTTTATTTAATAATTATAAAATTAAATTAAAACTTGGTAATATTAACATTAAAGAAATTTCATGTTAGTTACGTGCCTAACCAATTGCAAGAGATACGGTGGTGATTTACGACTGCGGCGGTGGCGGTGGCGGTGGCGGTGGCCATGGCCGTCGCAAGTAGTTGTGTGAGAGAGAGGGAGAGAAAGAGGCATTAGAAATCGTTGAGTACTATATACTTGTAAAACATCACGTTAATCAAATATCGATAGTTATGTGATCAAATCAGTTTTGCATAAAAAAAAATAAAAGGTGAAAAAATAAACGATTGACATAAATTTGATCCGATGAGATAGCTATCGATATCCGATCAATGTAATTTTTTACAAGCATATAGTACTCGACGACTTCTACACATTGAACGGCTCAAATTATCAAAACGGGACCCGTGATAGGCCCTCACGGGCCCAATGCTGCCCCCAGTTTGATCACGGACTAGAGAGAAGCCAAGCCCAAAAAAGAAATATTATTTTTTATTGTCATAAATAAATAATTGAATATCCATAACGATTATCCGTCACCATACAAACTCTGTCTCGTGACAATCCAGCACTATGCAAACTCTGTCTTATGATTGTCCATCACCACTATTGCGGCAATCAGATTTTAGATCTACTGACACTCATGTAGATCCATTGCAAGCCTTTATTTTATTTTATTTTCTACCTTTCTCTTTATATCTCTCTGTCTCTATTTTGTCAATAAAAAAATTACAATTTGTAGAAGCAATTGTCAAAGGGTTCAAAACATACTTTTTTCTAATTGAACTTGTGATTCTTTTGCAATTCTACATCTTTGTAGGCTTCTCTTCTGCCATATGAAAATGTCCCACACCCCCTTTAGTATTTGACCTTCCTAAAGTTTTCATGAGGTATCAATTTATTCATATCTACTGAAACTAGCATAAAGTCTCACTTTACATCCCCTTCTCTAAAACTGTCACGAACTATTACTTGACTACCTAAACTATAAAATGATACAATTAAACGGTTCAATAAATATACTAATTTACTCATTATTCCATCTTTGGCATTTAATTTTATAAGTTCTACTCATTTACTAGAAATTTCACTTTGCTAATAGTTAAATTACAACTAAACATTAAGGCTAAATTTAACTATTTGAAGAGAATGAAATTTCACTAGTTGAAGATAATGAAATAATTATTACTATCAAGTTTTAATTAAACAATATTAAAAAAAATTTAAGTACACATTATAGAATTAATTAGCCAACAAATTAATTAAGAAAAATAAATTATCATTAGCTAATTAAAAAATATAGTGACAATCACTTGTTGCTCCGACAAAACCACTAGTAACATCTCTCTCTAACTCATAAGTTTTCTATTTACTTGCTAGTACATCTTTGCCTTTAATTTTATAATTTTTACTTCTTTACTAGAAATTTCATTTTTTTAATAATTTCACCTAAATATTAAGGTTAAATTCCAGTATTTAAAAAGAATGAAATTTCACTAGTTGAAATAATGGTATGTTTTATGATAACAATGAAAATGATGAAGGTGGTGGTAATAGCAATGGTGGTTTCATAATGGTGGTGGTGGTGGGGTAGTGGTGGTGTTGGTGGTGACAGTGATGATGGTTGCAACAATATTAGTGATGATTGTAGCAATTGTAAGGTTATAATAGTTTATGCTGATGCTTGTGTATAAATATTTATAAATTCAATTAGCATTAAATAATTATGTAATTTTATGTGAGAAATTCATCATAATTTGAATGACTTTTATCATACAAACTCAATTATAATTGGATCCAAATGGATTACACAAAGGGTACCGCCTCTTACACCAACACTACCAAATTATGAAAATGATTTTAAATAATATATACTTTGCAAATAAATATAAAAATTCTCATTTAGAATTATCTCGAGACTATAAAGCAAGGTATGCCGACAAACATGTCATACCCGTACCGGGTAATTACCGAATTATGAAATTTTTTTCCCACTCAATTTTAAAATTACTATTAGTTAATCAAGTCTATTGAAATTAATTAGGATAATAAACTAGTTACAATTGCATGCGCAAACACATAGTACCCAAGAAATTTTCGCCAAAAGTCTTTTGTGCCATCTTCTTTACTACTAAATATTTAGTCACGAGAAACCATTGTTTGCATTTTTTGCTATCAAAATATTTAGTCGCCAAAAACTTCATAATTTTTTTTTAAATTAATTTATCAACCACCTATATTTATTCCATTGTTAGTGCACCCTGTACCCTGTATATAAATAAAATAATCCATATAATGATCAAATTAGCAACCATTCTACAACATACACACATTTCACTTTTAACTATCAAAAAAATTAATATTTAACGTCAAATTATAAATGAAATACAAATTCCATACAAACCAAAGTATAATCTAACATCAAAAATATAATTCCATACATAACAGATAAATAATCATTTAGACACATAAAATGATCATATAATTAAATGCACAACAAATAAATGATCATATAGACACATAAAATATTGTTAATTTATATTCCATCCCACTAGGGAGCATTCTTCCTTAATTGGGCTGCAAAGGAATCCTGTATTTGGACATATTAGGAAGAAAATTGGCCATATAATTTACAATACTAAGAAATTGTTGGACCTGCTTTGTATGTAAGATGTTCATTAAGGAAAATTTGTGAGTCTAACCATCACATCACACCATATAGAAGCAAAAACTAGATGGTAATACAACAGCACCTTTGATTGCTTCATGAACTCATTCATGACCCGTTTGTAACAATCCTCCCAAACAGCTGGTGGAACTTCTGCACTCAATCTAATCTGAATAAAAAAAATACTCAATTACAAATACATATAAAGCAGTACTTATACAAATATACTCTAATTAACAAATGTACGCTGGCCAATAAATGTAAAAGGAAAAAAAAGAAAGAAAGAGCATACACAATTACAAATACATATAACGCAGTACTCATACAAAAATACTCTAATGAACATGTGTATGTGGGCCAATAAATGTAGAAAGCCAGTTGAGAAAAAGCAATCTAGGATACTCAGGATCTCATGAATATGACAATAAAATAGTAGAATTTGAAATTGGGCAAGAAAGTAAAAATGAGAGTGAAAATTGGGCATTACATTACCTAGCAAAAATTTAAAATAGCATTTGGATCAAATAGCTTTTCTTTTCGCAACCTACAAGTAATCTATTCAACTCCTCTCTCTAATTGTTCCCCTAATCTGTATCAAATAGCATTTGGATTTTTCAACATGTTAATCACTGTGTTTGGTTTGAGTTTTCTGGATTAAGTTTTTTGAAAATTGACTTTTTTGGTTTTTGTGTTTTTTTGTTTTTAGTGAATATTTTTTAAATTTTAAACATTTTTTTCCTTTTTTAGATGCACCTTACTTAGATGTATCTAAAAAGTAAAAAAATTGTGAAAAAATTAATAAATACATAAAAATACAAAAAAATGTACTGAATTCTTGTATTATTTTTTTTTGTATTTTTGGTATTTAGTGAATTTTTAAAAGATTTTTTTTACTTTTTAAGTGTATTTATGTTAGGTGTGTCTA